AAAATAGCATTAACCTGTTGATATTGTTGGTCACTGCTTTATTGTCAACCTTCTTTGTAGTTCCACTTTCATTTTTCCTCACCTCTTCCACTTCACCCTCATAGAATAAATACCTCACAGAACCAACAGGACATTATCTGTACAATTGAGACAATTTAATATAAAAAGTTAAATATCTTTAGAAGTTAAAGGGTACCGATACCGTTTGCTCTAATATATGGCATTTGCTCTAAAAAGAAATAAAAAAGTGTTCAGTAAAAATATGAAGATTCGGAGAAAAGAACCAAAATTTTCATTTATGACAGCAAAAGAAATCATCAACAAAACTGCTGGTATATAAAAACACAAACATCTCATCAGTAGTGGACCAAGAATTTGGATTTGGGGGAGAAGTTTAGAATGGGGCCAATGCACTATATGAAGTAAAAGTAATAACTGAACAGAAGAAAATTGTTCACAATGAGACCATATGCCATTTCTCTGGGGGAAATCTGACCTGTGAATTCCCCTCTTTGCAAGTTGCAACAATTCATGACACCAAAATGTATTACATTATATTAATCAAACAAGCACAAAACAAACAGAGTAGAAATCACATAACATAATATGCTTATCAGCTTTACAATACAAATCAAATTACTAAAAATAAAAATTCTATTATTGAATGAAAGAGGTTACGTCAAAATAGAGATAGTGAAACCTATACTTACTGGTTGGAGTTTGTAATGAAGCGAAGGCTGGATATCTTTGTCTTCCAGAATATACCCACTTAGGGTTTCCATCTCAAAAACATCAATCTCTTTCTCTTCTAGAATACCCAACTGCTTTCGTTGTGGGAGGAAGGAAGGAATTGAGGAAGAGATTTTATTGGGCACGTGTTATTCAGGTGGCGCGTGACTTTAATCTCTGGAAAGTTACGATTTGTCAACAAGTCCATTTGCTGTTTGCAGTTCTTCACTTCGCACTACACAAATTATTTCCCAAATTTTCAGCAACTTACTGTAATATATTATCAAATCAAATTCAAATTAGAAATAAATAGTAGTAAATCAATCAACACCTTACCCTCAATCAACTGTAATATTTCAAGTAAGGTTGAAGAAGGTTCTTCGCGTTAGGATGATCCCACTCCACTGATTCCCACCATCCTTTTGAGCTTTTATGAATCTTGATTGCTGTGAGACGAGGAGGAGGAGATAGTTGGCCATTATCAAGCAGGGGAAGCTGAAAAGGGTTCCTCTTTAACTCCGGACATTTGTATATATCAATTTCTTCAATAGAATCATAAATCATCACTCCTTTGGCACTGCAGATGCTCTTCAATTTGGGTAAGTTACCCAACTCCAACATCCTTAACTTAGGAAAAGTGAAGGTGAATTTATCAGATGATGCATCTGAATCTGATGATGCTATTATCTCCTCCATTTCTGCGCAATTCCAAACTCTAATCTCCTCTAAGTTTTGAAGGGCTTGCAGTAGCTCAAGTGGAAGCAACTTCCTCATTTCGTCGCAACAGTATATAGAAAGCTCTTTAAGATTGGAAAAGACGCGTGGTGGTGTTGGTACTCCTTCCACTCTCACAAGCACAGACAAGTTGGGCAAATCATTAATACACAGGTATTCAACCTTATCGAGTACCGGACAACATAATGAGGGGGAGGATGATGAGTCCAACTCAACCACACACTCTATCCCTTCACATTGGTGGATAACACACCTTCTCAACTCGGTTGCATTTTCTAACAAAATTATTTTGTTTAAGCTCCTGCTTGTCATGTTTTGCATGTATTCAATCCACAAATCCTCAAGGTTATCTGGAAGCACCACCATACATTCTCCATCTATCTTCAGCTGATTAATTTCAAGCAAACGTTTAATTTGAAGACAACTTCTACAAGCACTCCATCGATATGAAAACTTTTCATCTGTAATGTTTGGTAAATCATTAAGAAGCCCGCCACCCACTACAAGCCCATAAGCTGTAAGACTTTGGAAATTTTTGAACTCACTCACAAAAGAATGCAACTCATGTATGCCATCGAATCGACATTCTAAAATCTCTAACTTTTTCAAACTCGCAACCTCTTCTAAATCTATCTTTATACTAGTTCCTGGCAAATAACATACTGCCAAGTACTGTAGACTAGAAAGTTTAGGCAATATTCCTGTTGGAATGTCTTTCAAATCTCTACAAAATAAATTAAGATATTCAAGACTTTCCAATATCTCCATGCCTTGAGGGACCACCTTTATTCCTGCACCTTGCAGATCCAACTTCTTCAGTGCTCTAAGCTTCCCTAAGAAAGGCAGGCACTTTAACCTCTGGCACCCCCTCAACCGCAGCACAGAGAGATTCTCCAAGTCACAGATGGAATCAGGTAAAGTCTCAATATCAGTTCGAGAAAGATCAAGAACCTTGAGTGTGCCCATATCTTCAAAAAGGGATTTTGGAATCTCCGATATATGATTATCTGATAATATCAAAGTTGAAAGATTCAGACACTTCAATGACAAACCAACAGGAAGTTCTGAAATGTGAATTGCCATTAGAGACAACTTCCTGAAATCTTCGGCCCACCCTCGCTCATTCGCTACCCCTCTCAATTCTTTTACCATATATCCAAATTCAGGACCGATGATTTTGATAGCCATGTCTCTCACTACATCATGCATCTTCAAAACCTCATGAGATTTGTACTGTGCAGTTTTCTCAATCAAACAATTCTTTACAAGCTTGTCTAATAAGGCATGACCCCTATCATATGCTTTTTGTCTACTTCCCAAATCATCAATATCAATTAATCCATCATCAATCCAACCTTCTATCAACTCCATTCTAAAAAACTCATAATCTTCTCGAAACAAGGAGCAATACAGAAAACATTTTTGAATTTCCAAACTATCCAAATGATCAAAACTAAATCTTAACCGTTGAAATATCTCAGCATCCCAACCATTCACACTCTTTACACGTTCTCGTAATTCAGTTAGTGCATTTCTCCACACATTAACATCATCTACTCCCCTCATGCTTGCCGCTATCACAACAATGGCGAGTGGTAAACCGGCACACTCTTCCACAATGAGCTTCAAAATGTCTTCCAACCCTGTAACTCGCGAAATATCATCCCCAACAGTATCTAGGAATAACTTTAGAGACTTCTCTCTTGAAAGAGGTTTCACTTTAACAATCTTACATCGCAAATAACTGCATACTTCGATTGATCTACTAGTGACAACCACTTTGCACCCATTCTGCACCTTCGGATCTGGAATTCCAACATCCTTAAGAGAGAACTTGTCCCATACATCATCTAATATTAGCACAAATTTCCTTCTTCCCATTATATCCATTAGTTCTGCCGCTCTCATCTTCTCTTCCTTATCTTCCGAAAGTGTTTC